CTCTGGCTGTATAAGTCCCCAACATTAGGTTAACTACAAGCTGCGAATCACTTTTGATTACAATCTGATTAATGCCGAGTTCACGTGCCAGTTCTAAACCTGCAATCACAACTTCATATTTTGCCTCAGTATTAGTTATAGAATGATATTTAAAGTCTTGTCGAATGGTTTCACTCGTAGGTGGCACCAAAACAATTCCTAAGCCTGTCCCCCTTCACATTAGATGAGCCATCAATAAATAAGGTCTAAATTCCTGGATTAGACCCGTTGAACACCTATAATTCTTTTTCTGCTTCTAACTGCATTCCTTGACTGAAATCAGCCAAAAAATCTGCTAACACCTGAGATTTTATAGCGGTTCTGGGCTGGTATGTGATGTCATATTCACTTAATTCTATAGCCCATTTGGCTAACCTACCTGACAACTTATGCTTGTGTAATATATTGTGAAATGGATACGCAGTTACTACAAAAATAGGGTGGCATTAAAAATAAGGCCTTAGTTTTCTAGATGACATGATTAATGCGAGTGCAAGCTTTTCTAATTGAGGATACCGCGACTCCGCAGCTAAAAATGATTTGCTAACATAATAAATCGGAAACTGTTTACCTTGGTCTTCACGAACTAAAACAGCACTCACTGCTACTTCTGACACATCCAAATAAATGAGTAACCTTTTCCCAACCTTCGGTTTTGCAAGCAACGGTGGATTTGACAAGTATGTCTTCAAGTTTTTGAGTGCTTGTTGACACTCCTCAGTCCATTCGAACCGATCTTGTTTTTTAAGAGCTGAAAAAAGTTTAAAACATTTTTCTGATGACTTGGAAATAAATCTCCACAAGGCTACAATTCTTCCTATCAATCTCTGCACTTCTTTTTTACTTGTAAGCATGTCAGGAATTTCTTCAATGGCTTTAATCTGCCGAATGCACATTTACCTGAAACGTATCAGATAAATGCGACATATGATCTCCTAAATGTTGAGTTTTAACGAGCATATCATCTATGTAGACCTCCATAGTTTTCCTTAAATGTTCTTGGAATATTTTAGTTACCAATCTTTGATATGTTGCACCAGTATTTTTGAGACCAAAATGCACTACTTTATAACAGTAAGTCCTCGTGTCTGTTATAAATGAAGTTCTTTCTTTATCTAGGGGATCCATTTTGATCTAGTTGTAACTTGAATATGCATCTAAAAAGCTTAACAACTCATGCCCTACAGTATCATCAATCAATTGATCTATATGTGGTAATGGAAAAGAATCTTTAGGACAAGCTTTGTTAAGGTCTATGTAATCTACACAAACTCGCCATTTACCATTCTTTTTCGGTACTACAACAGTATTGGCTAACCAATTATGATACTTTACCTCGCGGATAGACCCAATTTTTAATAGTTTTTGAACCTCATCTTGAATCACCTAATTTTTGAAAGTCCCCTGCTTTCTCTTCTTTTGTTTGACGGGTGGATATGATAGGTCTTCATTTAACTTGTGGGTCATTACTTCCGGTGGTATTCCTGTCATATCAGAATGGGACCAGGCAAAACAATCCACGTTAGTTTTTAAAAATTCAATCAACTTACCTTTCGTGTTGTGGCTTAGGTTGGCCCCAACATAGACTTTCATTTCATGCCATTGCATAAATAACTCTACAACCTCTAGTTCTTCAATCGTTGTATTGATATTTTTATTTTCCTATGGTTCTTGAATGGAATCGGGCCTTGAGTCCACATCTATTCGCCCTTGTTCAGTTGAGGCTTGTGTTGTGGTATCCTCAACTGGATTCTGTAACTGCTATTTTTCTTCATTTCTCGTATTTGAATCTGCTACGGAGTTGATGTTCCTGGATGTCTGTTGGTCCCCCCGGATTTGACATATTCCTAATGGTAATGAAAATTTAATAACTTGATGTAAGGTAGACGGAACATCCATCTCGTGGATCCACGGTCTCCCGAGAATCATATTGTAAGTCATTTCCACCTGAAATTTTGTATCTTTGACAACCCCTTCTACGAATGTAGTAAGTGTTACCTCCCCTTTCATCACAACGCTTGAATTGTCGAATCCAGATAAAGTATGTACCTTTGGTACTAGTTTATTTTCAGCTTGCATCTCGTTTAGTACTCTTAACAGAATAACGTTCATGGAACTACCTGGATCAATCAAAACTCGTTTCACATTAGTATCATGTACAAGTAGAGATATACCAGTGCATCGTTATGTGGAGTTAACACGTCATCCACATCTGCATCATCAAATGTAATACTTTCTTCCTCCAACACATGTCGGATCCGCTTCCTGTGGGTGATTGTAACTTTAGAGACCTTATTAGCTGCGGTATACGTCACACCATTGATTTCCTCGCCCCTGCTTATAACATTGACGGTCTTTTTTGGAGAAGGGGGTTTAAGGGGCTTCTGCATGTTCTTCATGTATGCTTGCTTACCTTTCTCACTAAATAATTAGGTGAGATACCCTTGCATTAATAGATGGTCAACTTCACCCTTGAATAATCTACAATCTGCCGTTTTATGACTATGATCGTTGTGAAATTCGCACCAGTGATTAGGATTGCGCTTGTTTGGATTCGATCTCATTTCTTTTGGCCACCGTACCTTATCTCCCATGCCTCTTAATACCGCTACTAACTCTGAAGTGCTGACATTAAAATTATAACCACCAAATCTTTCCTTCAAGTTTCTATCATCATCTCGGGTTTCTCGTGTGTTTCGATCGTTTCCAAACCTTGATGATGAACCCGACTCTCTATTTCTCGATCTGTGATCGTACCTTGAATTATCCTGCTTTGATCGTGAGTCTTTTCCTGCCGGGCCCATATGTGGTTCGTATCTATTTTTACCGGACCTTTTTCGGTTTCTGAACTTCTCGAACTTACCTTTTCCTCTTTCTGAGATCGGGAGATAGTGTCTTCTTCTATCCTCAACTTCGTGTTGTATCTGTTGTAAGCATCATTCCAGGTTGTTGCTGGAAATTCACGCAGACTTTTCTTGAGTCGTCTCGTGGCTTCTGAGCTTTTCTCATTCAAATTACTAGCAAAGGCCATAGCCGCCCAGTTATCAGGTACGCGCGGTAACGTCATTCTTTCACGCTGGAACCTATCCACGAACTCTCTAAGCAGCTCTGAATCTCCTTGCTTGATTTTGAAAATATCTTCCATTCTTTTTTCAACTTTTTGAGCTCCCAAATGCGCTTTGATAAAAGAATTTGCAAGCTCAGCAAAAGAATTTATATAATTTTCGGGTAAAAGGGAATGCCATGTTAATGCTCCCTTGGTGAGTGTTTCACCGAATTTCTAGACCAACACTGATTCAATTTCTTGTTTGGTTAAATCGTTGCCTTTCACACCAGTTGTGAATGTAGTCACGTGGTCTCGTGGATCAGTTGTGCCATCATACTTTGGAATATAAGGCATTTTGAACTTCTTCGGTATCGGCACCGGAGCAACACTAGGCTTCCATGATTGTTGTGAGTACTTATCCATGTCTATTCTTTTGATTACAGGTGGCACTCCAGGTATTTGCTCTATGCGATCGCTTTGCTCCTTGAGCTTCTTCTGCAAGGTTAGAACTAAATTTTGTAAATCAGAATTAACTATGTTACCTGGTTCGCCATCGCGAAATTCGCTTGGAGTTCCACTAGTGCCTAAGTTAACGAGCCAAAAACGTGGGTTTTCCAAAGTATTCTAATTCGGAGTCGGTGTTGTTGGTGCAATTGGCAATTGGCTGGTAAAAGCTCGGAGAGCATTGCTGACTTGTTGAGTAATGAGATTTTTTAAGGCATCATCGGGTGCTTGTTCATTTGCAACTCCAGCATTTTGATTCGCCACGAATCCGTTTTGATTTGCAATCCCATTATTTGTTTCAGAGCCTTCTGGAGTTCCTTCTCGTGAATGACGTTGTGAATCACGCGGTGAGGGAAGTGGTGTCCTATCACCCGCATCATTCTCCTGATGTTGAGGATATTGTTTGTTGTTGTCGCTGTTATTCGACATGTTAAATTTTTTGATGAAAGAATTGATTAAGAAAGTAAACGATTATCAGATTCCCGGTAACGGAACCAATTTGTTTAACCAAAAATATGAATTTCGGTCAAAGTTGTACTTTAGAAGAACTCAGGTTACTGATAATCTAAAAATAAAATGAATAAAGGAAATTGATTTTGATAATAATAAGATGAATAGAAGAAAGCAAAGTAAATCAGTATATTCCGATGATATTTCGTATCCTTACAAATGATCGGTCTTCTCCTTTTATAGCTATTTCTAGGTAATATGTTTCGTTTCTACCATAATTGAGTCATTATTGTCTATGAATGGCATTTAATGACATTTAATGTAACGTTACAATCAGCAATCATATTTGATTCAATACAGATTCCTTAATGTTTTCCGTATTTAATGTCCAATAGTACGTATCTATACCTTATTTACTATCAGATTCATTCCCTTCCATCATAAAGAGGTTCAAGTACATATCTTCCTTGCTTTTTCTCTGAACATCTACCCGTGCTTGTTGAAGCTTGTGCCTTCTTTGATTATTTTTCATCACTTATTCTTCTTTTATTGGTCCACGTGTCATGACGTGTCATCTTATAATGAATTCCATATACAAACTTAATTTTTCCTAATACATTCACATTTATAAGCATTTATTTGATTCCAAACATATTTCTTACATCATTATCTTGCTTACTTTTTTCATCACTTGATCTAGATTTTATTGTGCTTGACTAAGATTGATCTCATCTTTATCATTAGTTGATTTAATTATAAAGGTTTTGACATCTTTTGGTCAAGCCGTCACCAGTTTGTCAACTTAGAGAAACAACATAAACTACCAAGCTCGGTCGTGACTATGCACTATACTGACGGCACTATACCAAGAAAGTTCCACAATAGCTTCAGCAATTTACACAAGAAAAGCTTATAAGTAAGTATAACGAACAAGTCACTATATACCTGGAACGATAAATACTTATGAGGGCCAATACGAGCTAATTTTGTCATGAGTCGTACAAACAGAATTTGCAGTTTCTTACAAAAGTGACCAGAGGGAAGAATATTGGGGCACTTATTTCCATACTACCAGCAGAACATTTCAAAGGTCAATAGAGAGTTACGAACAAGTGTATTACTTGTAACATGGATGCATAGAACAACAGATGACATTTTATAAAGCCAAACAGTTATGCACATTAGAAAGGATGCAAATTTGTACCTGTGTGCTTCACACCTTAGCAATTTTTCCATGAGGGATACTCAAAATGTTACTAATACCATCTCAGCTGTTTTTCTCAATGTCAGAACTAGAAACAGTGATCTACAAATAGGAAAGCAGTGATATCATCAGATTGAGGTTGGAACTCTCAAGAGATGGCTTACACCATTAATTATCAATGGTGTCTGATAACTTTATATTGATCACCAGATGCATGTCCGGGAAAATGTTGTAGCACAACATTAGGTAAGGCCAAAATTGAAGTTAAAAGAATTATAAGAATTCAATATGAGAACTTTAAATGTTATGCCGATATTCAGTATTGAAGCAATACTTTTTCCAGTCTATGCTACATGGTCGCGTAGTTTATCAAGCTCACTATTAACCTATTTGATGCAATTACCAATAAAAAGTAGTAGCTAAAATGCAGGTGACTTGATAATAGTTGCGACAGGAAGACAGATGTTTTCGAAGAATTTATACTAGACCTTTTGATTTGGTACAAGAACATTATTCTTGAAGGATTGCGTATAGGTGTTCGTAACATGCAGCGGAAGACAATAACAATCCTAGGCAGATTTTTTCGTGTTTAAAATTTATTTACATGTCAAAGATCGGATCTAAGACGTACCTAGAGAAGAGAGTCTCGTTTCAAAATTCTTCGATGATGCGACGACTCTATGCGTATCCACACCGAGACCGATCTTTGCTATCAACTCTTTGATGAATGAAACCCGCGAACAAATTGAACGGAAAAACTTGTGCTGAAATTTTTCTCAAAAATCTCAACTCAAATTAGAAGAACAAGAAACACTTTTCTTGTAATTGTATTTTCTCTTTTGGCTTGGTATTGCACTCTTACTTTCACAAAGTATTTTATCTTCTCAAGAATTAATAGTTCGGCAAATTTTCTCCATTACCCATTATATAGCATCACATACAAACTATTTTCCTATTTGGTTGAGGTAATAATTTACTTAGGGTAAAAGTTTATTCCAAAAATCAACTTATGGAAAATTTGATAAATCACGTTAACGTGACTACCGAAGATACTGTATTGACTTTTATAAGTCCAATTCCAAGTTAAACACTATACTGGTTTTACAATGGAAAAGGTATATCTCATTCCTAATGGAGATTACACGTATGCCATAGTCCTTTCTGGACTTTATACGTGAAAATCCAATTCTAAATTGGATTTGATTCATAAGTCTTTCATTAATATTATATATATATGTCACATATAAATTTTAATCAAGAGATGTAATTTAATTTTCTATTCCAAATAGAAAACTTCAATTCGTTCACAATATTAATTATAATCTCTGTGCTAGCAAAGAGTATACTAATATTTCATTTGGACTAACAACTTTATTTATTTGACTAATTAAATTCTTTAATTCAATTATCAAATAATAAGTTAATTAATCCTTTAGCAAAGATCAGGACCCTCGTTTGCATATGACCACATAGTTTCAATACTAAGCCGATAGTAAATTGATCACATCAATATACTAATCAAGAGTGGCGTCTAGCAACACTCCTTAACGACCGGATAGCATGAAGTATACAATTTACTCTCAAGAACCAGTAAAAGAATAATGTAGTAATTCCTTCTGTCCTTATAGCTCTGGGTCACCCTATGATATGGTTCAACTGTCAAATCCAAATAGGTGACCAACTATGTGTTCATGTCAAATATAATCGACCATTGAATGACCTAAGAAACTCATTCTTCTTTCATTCAATTGTCCTGGCCAAAGTCTTAGTTTGGTTGTTTAGAATTCATGACAACATGGAGTTAAACTCATTACTAGGAGTTGACAGATTCCATCTTGATCAATCACTAATTCTACAAGTATTTAATCATACACAATATCCTTTCAACTATCGCCCTAGGGCCATAGGTGTCTAGTATCAAAACACAATAAATAACTTGTCAATTACTATGACGATATCAGGTCAAAGGAAACTTTTATATCACATTCTTCAGGAGAATATTCTATTGATAGTTTATGGTAATTCTAACCATTAGGAATTTTCCAATGAGTCGGTTCAATGATCATATCACTATGTGCATCATCTATCTATGATTTAGTTAATGAGATCAACTAATCTTTATCCAATAAAGACAATCACATAAATATTGATCTAACCGGATTACTAATGTCCAAATTAATAATCCTATGATCAATAACAAATTTAGATTAAATTATAAAAAACTCCACTCTCATTATCATGATCTTCATCACAATGTCAAGTCTCAAAATTTAATCAAAGACCTTATCAAGTTAATCAAACAATTAAAAAATAACTATGATAAAAGAATATCAAATACCATATATTTTTATATCAAATAATGTTCACAGAAATATGTTCAAATCATCAAATATGATATTGGATCTAGGGCATATCTACTATATCCCTAACAATCTCCCACTTGCACTAGAGCCAATAGCTCATGTACTTCATTCCCAATTTCCACTTGTTCTTGCCAAACTCATTTGCGCCAAGAGCTTTAGTGAATTGGTTTTCAATATTTTCCTTTCCAGTAGAACATGTTTGGACTTTTGGTGTGATCTTGGTTCTGTGCTTGAGCAATGGCTCCAGTGTTGTCACATAATAATGGAACTGCACCTTCTATTGAAGGAACCACACCAAGTTCAGTTAAGAACTTTTCCATCCATACAACTTCCTTAGTAGCTTCACTAGCTACAATATATTCTGCTTCCGTCACTGAATCAGCTATTATAGCCTCTTTGGAAAATTTCCAACTCACTACATCACCATTTAAGGTGAATACATAACCAGAAACATAGTTGCTATCATCTATCTGAAGAGAAACTTGCACAGTATAACCTTCAATTTTTAATTTAGAATCTCCATAAATGAGGAATTGGTCTTTAGTCCTTCTTAAGTACTTAAGATTAGTCTTCACCACCTTCCAATGTTCCTCACCAGGAATTGCCTGATATCGGCTAGTCACTCCAAGTGTATAAGCCACACCAGGACGTGTACATGTCATGGTATACATGATAGCTCCCACTGCACTAGCGTATGAGATCCTACTCATAAGTTATCTCTTCAGGTGTTTTAGGACAATCTTCCCTGCTAAGAGTAATTCCAGTGCCTATTGGTAGATAGACTCTTTTGGAATTATCCATGTTATACCTCTTTAAGATGGTATCAATGTACAAAGACTGGGAAGTTCAAGCAGCTTCTTACATCTATCTCTATAGATCTTTATTCCTAATATATAAGTTGCTTCTCCCAAGTCTTTCATGGAGAACTATTCAGATAGCCAAATCTTGGTACTTTGCAATGCCGGTATGTCATTCCCTATGAACAATATATCATCAACATACAACACTAAGAATATAATTATGCTCCCACTAACCTTTTTGTACACACAAGGTTCTTCTTCACATCTAACAAAATTGAACTTTTCAATTGTTTTGTTAAAGTGAATATTCCAACTTCGAGAAGCTTGCTTTGGTCCATAAATGGATCTTTGCGGCTTGCAAATTTTATTATGATCAGACGAAGATGTGAAACCTTCAGGTTGTGTCATGTACACATCCTCTTCTAGCTCACCATTAAGGAAAGTTGTTTTCACATCCATTTGCCATATTTCATAATCATAGTATGCAGCTATAGCAAGCAAAATCCGAATTGATTTGAGCATTGCCACGGGAGAGAAAGTATCGTCATATTCAACTCCTTCTTTCTGACGATATCCCTTAGAAACATGACGGGCTTTGTAGGTCTCCACCTTTCCGTTTGCTCCAATATTTTTCTTAAAACCCCATTTACTACCAATAGGTTTTATATCCTTTGAAGGTTCAACTAAATTCCATACTTTATTTTCCTTCATGGTTTCTATGGCCTTCTGTCATTTCTCATAATTAGAACTTTGTACTTGTACAACCTGTAAACTTTGTGCTGGATTTGGTTGGTGTTCAATTTGGTTTGGAACTAGTTCATTAACCTGTTCTTGAATTACATTTAGTTCTTGAACTTCAACCGTTGAAGATAGCAACTTCCTTGGCAACTTCAAAACATCCAATAAGGATTCTTCAACTTGGGTCTCATGACCTTTATAATGTGTTGATTCGTTAGTTTCTTGAACTTCATCAAGTTCTATTTCTCCATTATCATTTCCTTCTAAAAGAAATTCCCTTTCCAAAAAGGTTGCTCCTCTGGCCACAAACACTTTATGGTCAGAAGGGTGATAGAAATAATATCCCATTGTTTTCTTGGGATACCCAATGAAACTACACTTATCAGATCTTGATTCAAGTTTATAAGACTATAGTCTCTTAACATAAGCTGGACAACCCCAAACTTTAATGTGTTTAAGGTTAGGCTTACGTCCTTTCCATATCTCATATGGTGTTATAAAGACTGGCTTAATGGGAATTTTGTTAAGTAACTATGTTGTTGCTTCCAAAGAATATCCTATAAATTAATTGGAAGATCAGTGAACCCCATCATAGATCTCACCATATCTAATAAGGTTCGAATTCTCCTTTCAGACACACCATTGTGTTGTGGTGTTCCAGGAGGTGTCTAGTGGGAGAGAATCCCATTCTCTTTGATATACCCAGTAAAATCTTCACTAAAATATTTTCCACCTCTATCAGACATTAGTACTTTGATACTTTTACCAGTCTGTTTCTCAACTTCACTACGGAACTTTTTGAACATTTCAAAATATTCAGATTTATGTTTCATAAGATACACAAATACATATCTTGACATATCATCAGTGAAGGTCATGAAGTAAGAATATACACCTCTAGCTTGAATTTTCATGAGCCCATAAATATCTGTATGAATTATTCTCAATAATTCAGAAGCTTTTTCTCCACTTCCAGTAAATGGAGATTTGGTCATTTTTCCTTTGAGACAAGATTCACAAGTTGAATATGATTCAAAATTATATTTTTCAAGGTACCCTTCCTTGTACAACTTGTTAATTCTTTTCTCTCCAATATGACCAAGCCTACAATGCCAAAGGTATGTATAGTTTACTTGATCCTCTCTTTTCCTCTTGAGACTTGATACATGCATAATCGAGTTAACATTCACATTAGGTAAGA